ATGCTATGTCTTGCAGGCTACCTGACAGCTAACCCTACCTATAAGGGGAATCATCTCAATTCTAATACGGAAAATTCTCAGCATATAGAGAATTAGTTGCTCATGAAATATTTACTATCTTTACAAAATGTGAAGGTTGTATTATAGAGGGAAGCTAGTGTTGCTCTTGATTCCTATCAAGCTATTCTCATTAGAGATTAAGGATAACTGAGAATACACAGGCCCAAAATTCTCATCAGAAAAGATCTATTTCTTACTTCTGTTAGATAAGGATCAGATAGGATAAAGTTTGATTTCTAAGCAACTTAAAATATTCATTTGAATCAACCCCAAAATTATAAAAGAATGGGCAGCCAGAATGGGATAAACTCACCAAGCTCCCTAACAGAAAGACATCAATTTTAATTTTCCAATACCTGTCCTGCTTGTAGCTGATTACCTGGTATATATTTCCAACATTATCTAATATATGTATTTGTTTTCAAAACTTTTTTCATTTGGTGCCTAAAAGAACTGTGGAATGCTCTTATCCAAACAGGGCCTCATACTACAGCCATTTCAGAGAAGGATGCCTTGGTTAGGAAATTTTAATTAAAAACCAAGTTGAATTCTTTGACCAACTATTTCACCATTACTGGCATCTTGAAAAAATTCTTTTAGACATAAGACCAAGTTTTACTCTAACATAGGCACGTTTAGGAACTAACTTTGGCATTTCTGTTTTCACTGTCAACACTCTAAGCAGAGAAAAAGTACATGCATCGTGCAGCCCTTCTGCCATGCAACTGACTGCAGGTAAAACAGACTGAAGGTTCCTGAGTGAATTCCAATCTCAAAGCAGACCAAGCTTGTTCTCTCCTGAATTCCTAAAGAAGCAAAGAGCTCTACAAAGTTAAACATATTTCATACCAATAAAGTCCAGAAGTGAAATTGCATAGATCTGTTTTCAAACCCCTAATAGGTATACTGCAACTGCAACTCATTCAGATGCCATGAAGGACGGCGGCGATTGGAAAAAAAAAAAACTTGCATTTCCTGACCAACACATTAACCCATACATTTCTTGTATATTTTCACTCTTTCCTAAAGAAATTTCCCAAACGGAAATAAAGCAAAAGGAAGTCCTTGCATATAATATATCTGCCCCAGAAATTTATCTTTAAAATACAACTATTTCCCTCCAAAATATAATAAAAATAAGATAACATCAGTGGGATTCTGTGATGTGTCGAATTTAGCAATAAGAATACTCTTTGGGATTACTTCCTTGGGTCATTGGAGAAGCTGTTTTCCATTTGTACTGCAACATAAAAAAATATTTGCCAAATCGGTTTCACTTTCTGTTAGAGTTAGCCTAACTTCCTAACTCTGTTCTCAGTATCTTCCATTTCTCATGCAGTAAGGCCTAGATATCATAGCAACATTAGAAAACACACATGAATGTTTTTCTATTAGGATCCACAGAACCTTTTTCAAATAACTTTTTTCAATTTCTTCTGTAGTCCTAAATACCTAAGCATTTGGTTGTTCACAGTCCACATTTTTTTTAAACCTTTTTTCTAAGGCTAAACTTAAGAATGGTTTTCTCCCAAATTAAAAAATATATCTATTTATTATCTATATTAAATCTTGAGAAGTAAGCAGATGCATTCACAGAGGGGGAAAAATGGAATCCTTTTTACCCTACACATTCACAATAGTTGTTTGATATACTAAAAAATCTGTCTAACACATATGCTTTTTCTCTCCATGCTGTTATAGTTATACTATGCGGGATAATACTTAGAACTCTCAATAAATAGATGTGTTAAATTAAAAACAAAGTGTCAAACCAACTTCCCTTGCCTACCCTCAAAATCAAAAGGAAAAATTCTAGGCACCTTAATAGCAAACTAAAAATATCTAGACAAAACAATGAGATTAGCATTCCAGGAAAGCCGAAACACAGCAATAATTTCATAAACAAATTTACATCAACACTCATGTGGACAAATATTTTGAAAAGCAGAAGCTTTCAAGAACTGTGAACCAAAATGTCACCAAAAAAAGAACCCTTTTCTCTTACTGGGAAGTCAATATAATTTCAATTCAAAGGATAATTCTGCAAAGGAGGCCTAAACGATCCTTACCCTCCAACCCTGATTAAGCCCTGGCAGATTTTACAACTGGAGACTTGCAGGGGAAAAAAAAAAAAAAAGTTTTAAAAAGACTAGGCCCCAAACATGAAGAGTAAAAGTAAATTAAAAAAAGGAATTCGATTTTCAAATATATGTATATGAGAATACTTCAAAGATAAATAAAACAAAACAAATTATTCTTAATGACTATTATCCAGGGATAATTTTTAAGACTTCTGGAACAACTACATCCTCGGATCTTATGGAAATATCAGCTCTCAATAAATAAGTTTTCTTAATACCCATCTGCTTAGACAAACTGTACAATCTTTGCTTGCTCTAATGAAGAGCAGGTACAACCGAGATGGCCTGCCTTTATCGTGTGGTTATTAAGTTCTTATACCAGAGGCATCAAAGTAAGATCCTGCAAATTCTAACAAGCCCCCAAAGAGTTGTTCCACACATATTAAAAATCAGAAAAATGAACATATAAAGTTTGGATTTCTTTTTTTTTTTTGAGATGGGGTCTTGCTCTGTCTCCCAGGCTAGAGTGTAATGGCTCATTGTCACCTTTGCCTCCTGGGTTCAAGCAACTCTCCTGCCTCAGCATCCAGAGTAGCTGAGATTACAGGCACCTGCCACCATGCCTGGCTAATTTTTTGTATTTTTAGTAGAGACAGGGGTTTCACCATGTTCACCAGGATGGTCTTGGACTCCTGACTTCAGGTGATCCTCCCACCTTTGCCTCCCAAAGCGCTGGGATTACAGGTGTGAGCCACCATGCCTGGCCATCTTTCTTAAAAACAGGAAGATCTGGCAATACTGATCCTGCACTCCTACATAACAAACCACTGGAATTTAGTAGTGGCTGACTTTTTAGAGGAGGCATTGCCCTCCAGTACCCCAAGTCTTCACCTCTTCCCTCTTCTTTACTCTTGACAGCCCCCCATGAGCATTAGAATTTTTTAACCCCTATTCTATACACTTCTTACTGTTCCCAACTGTCAAATTTTAGACACTCTGATACACTTCTCTTCCCCTCTCTGATTCTGATTTATTCTATGTGTATTATTTTTTCCCTCTAATCTATTCATGAAACACCCTTATTACTGTCTCAGACTCCAAAGACATGAAATTAGTCTTATCTAAATCCACAGAACCATCTACTGAGAACATTAATATCAAAACCCTAAGAAATTATTGATAAAATTGCATGGTTTCATCACCTTTCAGCAAAGCTGTCTCTGCAGTGCCACTTTTCTTCAACTATTTTTTAGTTTTCTTTATACCTCTTCTTCAAATACAGAGTCAGACCATAACAACCGTATGTGACACTCTCATGATGCAACCTTTGGCTCTTCTACATTTCCAATTTTTGCACTAAAATACCATGTTGTGCTAGATTCTACGGGTCTACAGCAGTCACATGACTTGGTTAAAGGCGATTATTACATGTGGCTTCAGCTTCACACAATTATGCAGATATGGTTTAAAACCTACCTGGTCCTAAGTAAATCTTCTAACCACTTTGCCCTTAAGTAATACTACCAACGACTTCAAAATGCTGCATTTCTCATTTCCACTTATATAGTGGCAGCTGAATCCCCTATCTGAAAACTACAGAACAATTCAATTCTTTGCATACAGCTCCTCTCAGTCACCTAGAGTCACTGAACTTATCACCTGAGCATCTAGAATTATGGGATCTGCAACACCCCCGCCCTCCAGAACCAGGCCCCGCCTCACCTTAATGGTTAACATTAGGGTTTACTACCATATTAAAAGTAATAGAACGATCTCTTTTTCTCTCTGACCCCAAAAAGAATAGAACTGAACGGAAATAAAAATGAAATGGAGAGTAGGAGACGTACCGCAGATTGAAACCTCGGTTGCTCTTCCTGGAATAAGAGAGAAAAAAAAAATAGAAAATATAGAAGTTATTTTTACACTTAACATTCAGTAATAAGAAAGAAAATGCCGGCGGCAGAGGAAGCGGCGGGTGGGGAGTCAGCCCGACACCCCTTCCTCCCTCCCCACCCCTTGCCCCCACCCTTCCACCCTCAGCGGGATCCGGTAGCAAGGTAGAGGGGTCCCGAGCGCCGCCCCTCCTTCCGGGATCCGACCGGGGCCAGAGGGGTCCCGAGCACTGTCTCTTCCCTGCAGACCCAGCTCGGGCATCTAGGCACCCTCAACCCCTCTCCGCCCTTCCTCGCCCCCCAGGATCCGCGGGTCATGGGAGGAGAGAATCGCGATCCGAAGGGGCAGTTCCTGAGCACAGTCCCCTTCGCCTGGATCCGGACAATGGGATCCCAGGCGCCCCCCATCTTTGTCCCCCGAATCCTGACCGGGGGAAAATGGGAGGGGGAGGCCGCAGCACCCTCCCTCGCCGGAGAAGGGAGGGGTCCCAGAGGCCGCGTGTCTTTCCCCCACCTCAGTCCCAGGAGGCCGCTCCAGCCAGGAGCCGGAGCGGAGCGAACCGGGAACGCGACGCAGACAGTCCTGGCCCCAAGGGGAAGGGGAAGGATGCGGCGGCGGCCCGGTCCCCTCCCGCCGTCGCCCCGCTGAGAGCCCCGGCCGCTGTCCCCGCCTGACAACCCGCACTGGAAGGAAGAAGCCCCAGGACTCACGTCGCTCTCCACCTCGATGTCATCGTTATCGCTCATTTCCTACGGCCCAGGAAGCGGCCACTGCAGCGGCGGCGGGGAGGGGAAGGGGTGGAGGGGAGGGGGAAGTCACCGACAACAACAAGCTGAGTCCCCCCCACACACACACTCACTCACTCACTCACTCGCTCTCTCACTCACACACACACACACACAACACGGGCGAGAACCACCTCCTCACTGCAGCACCGGATCAACGGCGGCACGCACGCCCGGTCGGCCCTCACCACGTGATCGGGCTCGTAGCGCTGGGGCCGCCGAGACTTGTAGTTCTTGTCCCTCTGACGGTCGGCCCGGGTAGCTCCAGAAAAACTACAAATCCCAGAAGAAACTAAATCCAGGCGACGCCAGCCCCGCTTGTTGACGGAGCCCAAGGCGCCTGCGTATCCGGGAGAGGGCGGGGCGGAGAGAGCCGCGGCGCGGTGCCTCCTGGGAGTCGTAGTCCGCAGACCGCGAGTTGTCAGGAGGTTTTCCTCCCGAGGTTGCAGAGGAGGCTGCTGGGAAGACAGGACACGTGGAGGGAGCTGGAGCTCCTGGAGCCGGCCACCGTCTGCGCGCTGGGCGCCGGGCCCAGGGGACTGGGTGGAAGCTCTAGGGGAGTAGCTGACTGTCTAAATAACGCTGCCTGTCTTTGGTGCGACCGGTTTTACTTTGCAGTCTTGATGTGGAGTGGTTTCGCTTTGCGTCTTGGGGCGTAACCCGCCCAGGAGGGAATCCGGCTGCGGCGGACCAGGGGGCACGGCTCCGGATACCCGCGCGAACCCTCGGGAGCTGGTGAGGAGGTGTCAGTGGCAGGTGTTTCGTGGAGTTACCGGACAGGCAGGATGACCGACCTCGCCGGGCGACCGCTCATAGCCGCAAGAATCCTGTATTCATTTATCCGAGAGTGACCATCCTCGACACTCCGCTACTCACGTGAGCTTCCAGCATTCACAGAACCCGAACCCTCAACCACCGTGGACTTGGAAGTAAAACCCCTTCAGAGTTTGTTGTGTAGCCCAGGCAGTTTAGGCAATATCCCAGCTCAAGTACCATAATTAAGATTGCAAAAAGGATCAATATGGGAAACTTGTGCAGCTCCCTGTCCAGTTAAAATCATATTTACATACTGTGGAGTAAAATGTAGTCACATCCATTCCACCAATATTTATTGAACACCTAACATGTGCCACAAGGGGATGCCATAACGGATAAGACCAGAACGATCCCTGCCTTAGTGTGGTTCACAGCTATGCAAGCAAACCTGACTGCCCTGCCGCCATTTTAGGAGTGCAACAAGTCCCATGGGAAGAAAAAAAAAAAAAGACACTTTCCACCCTGAGACAAAGTACCCGTACTACTCCTTTACATCTGATCTCCAAAATGAATGACATTTTGAGCTTTTCCATGAGTTACTGATTCCCGGATGAAAATTATATTATCCCTGACTTTTGAATGTGGAAATTTGGGGATATGTCGCACACAATTCTTGGGACATACATTCCTTTTGAACTTACCTTTTCTACGTGTTCCTTTCCTGCTGAGTTGGGGAGACAGACATAAGCAGACCATTATGTGATAAGGGCTGATGACAGACGGCCACTCTTGAGTGAGTTAATTAACTGGATACTAGAAGTTAAAGCTAATTGATTATTACAAGAAACCGTTGTTGAGTGCCTGCTATGTACAGAGCATTCTAGGACAATCCCGGCTCCAAGTTAAAATCACCCTAGGGGCTTTAAAAAATTCCCATTCCCAGGCCACACCCCAAACCATTTAAGCCAGAACCTCTGGAGGTGAGATCCAGACTAAAGGATTTTTTTTTTTTTTTTTCTTTTTGCAGGGGGCAAAGTCATGCTCTGTCGCCCAGGCTGGAGTGCAGTGGCTCCATCTCAGCTCACTGCAACCTCCGTCTCCTGGGTTCAAGCGATTCTGCTGCCTCGGTCTCCCGAGTAGCTGGGATTACAGGTGCCTGCCATTACACCTGGCTAAGTTTTGTATTTTTAGTAGAGACAGGGTTTCACCATGTTAGGCTGGTCTTGAATGTCTGACCTCAGGTAATCCACCTGCCTTGGCCTCCCAAAGTGCTGGGATTACAGGTGTGAGCCACCGCACCTGGCCAGACTGAAGGATTTTTCAAAGCTCTTCTAGTAATTCCAATGTGTACCCAAGACCGGAATCACAGCTATAGATGATGCCAGAATAAATAAGATAGTCTCTCACTGAATTGTATGCTTCCAAAGAGTGAATTTTATGGTATGTCAATAATTATATTTCAATAAAACTTATAAAAGAATAAGATAAGCTTCACCCACATGGAATTTAAAATCTTACAGGAGTAAATTATCAACTCAAATAATTGTGATAAAGACAGATTATGTAAGTGTCAAATTGTTTGTACATGCAGTGAATGCTGTAAGAACTGAGGAAGGAGAAGGAGTGCCAGGTATGAGGTAGGGTTGGGGATGTCTTGGTGATCAGGAAAGTCTTATTTATTTATTTAGAGATGGATTCTCGCTCTGTTGCCAGGCTGGAGTGCAGTGGTGCCATCCTGGCTCACTGCAACCTTCACCTCCCATGTTCAAGCGATTCTGCCTCAGCCTCCGGAGTAGCTGGGACTACAGGTGAGTGCCACCATGCCCAGCTAATTTTTGTATTTTTAGTAGAGGCAGGGTTTCACCGTGTTGACCAGGCTGGTCTCGATCTCTTGACCTTGTGATCCACCTGCCTCGGCCTCCCAAAGTGCTGGGATTACAGGTGTGAGCCACCACAAGTGGCCTTATTTTTATTTTTTGAGATGAAGTCCCACTCTGTTGCCCAAGCTGGAGTACAGTGGCGTGATTTTCACTCATTGCAACCTCCGCCTCCTGGGTTCAAGCAATTCTCCTGCCTCAGCCTCCCGAGTAGCTAGGACTACAGGCACGCACCACCATGCTCAGCTAATTTTTGTATTTTAGTAGAGATGGGGTTTCATTATGTTGGCCAGGCTGGTCTCAAACTCCTGACCTTGTGATCTGCCTGCCTTAGCTTCCCAAAGTACTGGGATTACAGGTGCGAGCCACCACACCCAGCCTGGAAAGTCTTCTTAGGTTGTCAGTTCCATTAGGGTAAGGGCTGGGTCTGCAAATATTTTGCTTATCATGAATAAGGTGGACTGAGGTGAGGAGGAAAGCCTTTTCTGGTAGGGAGACTGGAGATTTTTACACATCTCCTTTTAGTAATCAATAGAATATGAAGACCTGTCAACCTGATTAACAGATCTGACCTAATAGACAAAACACTGCACCCAACAGTTGTAGAATATGTTATCTTCAATCACTCATGGAACATTTACAAAAACTGACCACGTTCTTAGCCACAGGCAACACTCAACAAGTTTTTTAAAGGACTTTAACGTTAGTGTATTCTTGGACCTATTGCAATTAAAGTAGAAAAATAACAAAAAGTTAACTAGAAAAGTCTCATATATTTGAGATTTAAGAAACTTTTAGGCTAGGGACAGTGGCTCACTCCTGTAATCCTAGCACTTTGAGAAGCCAACGCAGGAGGATCACTTGAGCTCAGGAGTTCAAGACCATCTTGGTCAACATGGTGAAATCCTATCTCTATGAAAAACACAAAAATTAGCTGGGCATGGTGGTGGGCTCCTGTAATCCCAGCTACTCGGGAGGCTGAGGCAGGAGAATCTCTTGAACCTGGGAGATGGAGGCTGCAGTGAGCCTGGGCAATACAGCAAGACTCCATCTCAAAAAAAAAAAAAAGTAAACTTTTAAATGACACATATATGCAGGAAAGAACGAGACAGATGAGAAGTTTTCTTTAGCGTTTCTTTGCAGTGTTTTTCTGATGTGAATCTAAGACCCCAAGAACTCATTTTCATCTACACCTGAGTATCTTTGGTAACACCCCAGGGGAGCTTATTAGGGCTGAGCTGCAAACACAGCTCAGGCCCCCCTCAGACCTACTAAATCAGATCTGCATGATAACATTATGCCCAGGTAATTCATATGCACATTGGAGTTTCAGCGCTGTGAGGAAGGGGGAGTGGAGTAGCAATTGTGTAAGCAGGCAGACTACTTCCATTATCTCTTTTTTTTTTTTTTTTGAGATGGAGTCTCGCTCTGTCATCCAAGCTGGAGTGCAGTGGTGTGAACTCAGCTTACCACAACCTCCATCTCCCAGATTCAAGCAATTCTCCTGTCTCAGCCTCCTGAGTATCTGGGATTACAGGCGTGCACCATCATGCCGAGCTAATTTTTGTATTTTTAGTGGAGAAGGGATTTCACCCTGTTGGCCAGGCTGGTCTCGAACGCCTGACCTTGTGATCTGCCCGCCTCAGCCTCCCAAAGTGCTGGGATTACAGGCGTGAGCCACCACACCCAGCCTTCCATGATCTCTTTAACTCCTTTACAGTTTGGCTCCCATACTACCACTTGACTAAAATCACTCTTTTTCAGGCCACTAGCTACCACTTTATTGCCACATCCAAAGCCCTTATCTTATTTGACCTGATGGTGGCCGTCTATGCTGTTGACCACTCTTCTCTTGAAGGCCAAGAATCCCTGTGCTTTTGTTCTTCCCACCATCACTGTTTGCATTCCAGGGACTCTGTGGTTGGCACTTATCTCTCTGTCTTCCACCCTCTGCCTGTTAGGATCCTCTGTCTCCCGAGGATTTGGTGACCAGCTCTCTGATGGTGACCCCAAAACCATCTCTCTTTTTTTCTTTTTTTGAGATGGAGCTCCAGCTCTGTCACCAGGCTGGAGTGCAGTGGCATGATCTTGGGTCACAGCAACCTCTGCCTCCCAGGTTCAAGTGATTACCTTGCCTCAGCTTCCCCCCACCCTAACACGCCCAGCTAATTTTTGTATTTTTAGTAGAGATGGGGTTTCACCATATTGGCCAGGATGGTCTCGATGTCTTGACCTTGTGATCCTCCCACCTCAGCCTCCCCAAGTGCTGGGATTACAGGCATGAACCACCATGCCCGGCCTATATCTCTGTTTTTAGTTCTAGATTGTTATATGCGATCTATTTCTGGACACATCTACTTGAATTATTCCACAGGAAACTCAAAACACAAGGCTTGTGGATGAGTGACAGAAATCAAGTTTTTCTTTTCTTTCTTTTTTATTTCCTTTGATACAACCCTCAGGAGATCCTGAGAACATGTGCGCCAAAAGCAGGTTTTGATACAGCATTTAGAGTATGAGCCATTCATGTAAAATTGAGTGTATCTGTAGGAGCATATACATGTAGGGAAATATGTAGAATAGTACTAATCAACAACTTTAATAGCTGGTTGGGCATAGTAGCTCACTCCTATAATCTGAGCACTTTGGTAGCCGGGGTGGGAGGATTGCTTGAGGCCAGGACTTAGAAGTCAGCCTGGGCAACATAGTGAGACCTTCATCTCCACCAAAAAAAAAAAAGAAGAAAGAAAGAAAAAGAAAAAATATTTCAATAATGTTTATTTCTGAAAGGTAGGATTTTCAATGATTTTTTTTTTAACTGAGTAGCATCATTCTCAGCAAAATAATAGCGCTATTAAAAGACAACCGCTATCTCAGTAAGCCCACTATCTTTTCTTGAGCAGCAAACTTCTCAAGCCACAACCCTTAGGAAGACAGTCCTAATCATTTCCCATGACAGTTGTGCTTGTTTTCCCCTTATTTGGGGGAAGGGGTGTGACTACCAGGGTTCCCCATAGGAACCAGCTGACATACTCAAATTAGGAGCACTTGAGGAGTTTTTAATAAAGAGGTTGTTTGCAAATATGTGGGCAGGCTATAAAAATACTGCAAGGGATTGCATGGTACCACTGGGAGTCTGTGCTTACCCGCAGGCCTACAGGGGAGAGGGGACAGAGTAGTGACCAGAACTGGGGTTTGGGGGACTGTGTGTGTGCAGAGAGCCCAAGAAAACAAGAGCTTAGACTGGGGCCCAGAGTGGCTGGATCTAGAAGGCCCAGTGGAAGATCTCTAAGCACAGGGAGGGACCCTTTCCTCCTCTTCTCACATTTTTAGAGAGGGCTGAGAACTTCCAATCTACTCTGCAGGAAAGGGAAAATATGGGAGGAATACTTCTGGCCTCTCTGCCTCTCCTTCATTTCCCATTGGTGGGTGAGTGACTGAATCATCAGCTTGGTGAGCTGCAAGGAAAAACTGGTCCCATGTGGCTCAGCTCTCTCTCCTTGAGATTTATGGGGCTGTCCTTTGGGAGGAGGCTTATGTTTGCCCAGTTTTGCTATGACTGTGTGGGTAAAGTTAATTCAAGAAATATCAAGGAGGCTGGGCCTGGTGATACACAACTGTAGTTTCAGCTACTTGACTGAGACAGGAGGATGGTTTAAGCCTAGGAGTTCAAGGCCAGCCTGGGCAACACAGTGAGACCCTGCCTCAAAAGAAAGACAAAAATAAACAAAAAAGAAGGTTAGGAAAAAAAGAAAGAAATGTCAGGGAAGCTACACAGGTTGAACCTTGTTCTCCATTTAAGGCTCATCAATAATGAATCTCCTACTTTTGTCTCCATCTGTCTGACTTGTGTCTGTCTGAACTGGTTCCAAATTCAGGGTAGGAGACCTGAATGATATTTCTTGGTCCTCTCAACCTCAACATTCCTCTCTCACCTACCAATCCCTCCTCTAGTCATTTAGCAATCCTGCTATGTCCAGGCCTTTCACTCCCCTCGTTTCCACTGCAGGTCCTACCTCATTCAGGCCTCTGCCATTTCTTCTGGGCCACAGCCCCCTGCTGAGTCTCCATGCCACCTGCCATTCTCCACTGGCAGCCAGAGTGATCTGTGCAGAGTGAGGTATCTTCACTGAGTCGATAAAAGTTTTCACTCCCTCCCAGTGACCTCAGGATCAACCTAACCTCCATAGTCTGGCACTTAAGGCCTTCCATGATTTGGCTCCTGTGCCAGCCTCATTTTTCAGGTCCTGCTCTCTCATCCTTCATACTCCAGCCATGCAGAATTTCTTGCCTTTCCCACAAAGGACCATATTTTCTTTTGCTTTCAGGAATTTCTACCTGCTGTGCTCTCTACCCCGAGTGTTATCTCTCCTCCCACTCATCTTCATTTTCTTCACATCTTTGGGGCTTTTCCATCACCTTTTCCTGGAAGTCCTTCTGAATTCTCCAAGGCTGAATTCGGTGCCCATCTATTGTTCCCATAGCACCTGGTGGGTTCCTCTCATAGGACTTAACAATTTTTGTTTCGTGACTTCCTGTTTGCATGTCTCTATCCTCCACTAGATTGACTGTAAGCTCCTCAAAAATAGTTCCCTCTGTATCCTGGGGTGCCTTTCTTCAGGTATACAAGGCTTTGCACTCACATCTCACTGCCAGGTTTGCTGACTCTTCTACCTGATTGCTTGCTGGAGATATTTGGGGCTCAGTTCTTTCCTCTAGATGTTCATGTCCACTTTCATGTATATGTTGATGGTCAGCTAGCTCAGACCTTCCTTGAAGCCCTCCATTCATCCACAGCACTGATATCTCCTGCTAGGTGTCAACTAAGCACTTCAGACTTACCTCTTCAAAACAACTTTTTTTTTTTTTTTTTTTAAGAGACGGGGTCTTGCCCATGTGCCCCAGGCTGGTCTCTTCTCCTGAGCTTAGGCAATCCTCCCACTTCAGCCTCACAAAGTGCTGGAATTACAGGCATGGGCCACTGCGCCTGACCCTCAAACAACTCTTGAGTCCTCCCACCCCTCCTCAACCTGGTCTTCCACCTCTTTCCCAGGATGGTGCCACCATCCTTTCAGTTCCCAAAACCAGAAACCTGGGAATTAAATTCTGCTTTTCTCTCTGCAGGGTCCTTGCATCCTCACCATGAGCAGGGCCTGTTGGCTTTACCTCCAGAACAGAATCCATTCATTTTATTCATTTTCTTCCTTTTCCACCATCTCATATTAGTCAAGGAGCCTAGCATGTAGTAGGTATTTAATAAAAAGTTTTTAAATTAATGAAAAGTTGATTTCTTGCTTCTGTACTTTCCCCCATTTTTATCTGTTCTCCACTCAGACAGACAGCATGATTGTTTACAAAGGAAATCAGATTATGTCACTCTGCTTAACCTTCAATGATCTTGACATAACCTTCTTACCAGTCTTGAGGCCCTGTGTGATCTGGCCCCTGCCTACTACTCTGACCTCAGTTGTCACCCCCAGCTGTCACCTCTGACCTTAGCTGTCATTCCCCAGCAATGGAATAATATTGCACCCATTATAATATGTCCCATCGTATAGTCAAAGCCAAACTTACAAAGAAGAAACAAACAAAAATTCCATCATATTTTACAGACTGCCCTGGTCATTACCCCCATGTCTCTCCTGGCCCCCGTTCACCCACCTCCTTCCAGTCAGGGTCTTTGTGTTTATAGCTCCCCCTGACTGGATGCTTGTCACCTTGGCTTTGGATTGGCCTGCTCACTTTTAGCTGCTTCGAGATGCCTGACCTTGTCAGGTGGGCTGCATTTATTGCCATCGATTTTTATTTGGTGTTTATTTATTTTCTGCTGCCCCATCAGACCATGATGAGCTTTATGAGGCTAGAGACCTTGTCCATTTTGGTCCTAGTCATATCCTGGGCACCTGGCATGGTACCTGGCAAATGGTACCTGGCACATGGGCATACAATATTCTATAGTCTAAATGTTTGTGTTTTCCCAAAGTGCAGATGTTGAAATCCTATCCCCCCAAGCAATGGTGCATGGGAGATAATTAGGTCAGGAGGACAGAGTTCTCATAGATGGGATAGGTGCCCTTACAAAAGAGGCACAAGGGGCCGGGTGTGGTGGCTCATGTCTGTAATCCCAGTACTTTGTGAGGCTAAAATGGGAAGATTGCTTGAGCCCAGGAGTTTGAGACCAGCTTGGGTGGCAGAGCAAGACCCTGTCTCCATAAAAAAATAAAATAAAAAAGAATAATAAAAAAGGCACAAGGAAGCTCTCTGCGCTTTCCACTATGTGAGGAGGCAGTGAGAAGGTGTTGTCCACGAGGACTGGGTTGTCACCAGATACTGAATCTGCTGGTACCTTGATCTTAGACTTCTCAGCCTCCAGAGCTGTGAGAAATAAATGTTGTTTATATGCCACCTAGTTTATGGCATTTTGTCATATAGCAGCCTGAATGTTCTAAAACAATAAATACTGGGAGACTGAACCTCACAATGTTTATTTTAATTCCATCATATTTTGCAGACTGCAGAGATAAATATTATTCACACCTAGAAGTACCTGTAAACATATAATGAAGATTGTTTCACCTTTGCCAGGGAGCTAGGAAGAGCTTCCCTACCTGGAGAGAAGAGCAACCGATCCTGGAGCTGATGGATTAAAAAGGAAGCTGTTGATTCAGGTCCGGTTCCACACAGTATGCTTGGCAGGGCAGTCCCTGCTAATAAGGCCCAGCTCTGAATTATTCTCCAAATGTGTTTAGACAATCCTGAGGACTTAGGGGTCATGGTGGAGAGGAGGAGATTAATGTCAAGGGCTGATCTGTGCTTAGTTTATACCTTACTTGAAGTCCTTGAATTAATTTAACTCCTTTGTAAGAAAACCAAAGGCATTCGTTCATCACTTTTGTAAGAAAAAGCCAGCAGATGATGTTTTGTTAACACCAGGGTTAGTTGCCTAAAATGCATTGTCAGTTTGTTGATGGAAGTTGATTGATGGATCACTTTGGCTACTGTTAATAATATACAATACATTTTATCTGATACAGGGAAAATTTTAATATAATAGAATAATATTGCACCTATTATAATATGTCCCATTATATAGTCAAAGCCCAACTTACAAAGAAGAAACAAACAAAAATTTACAGATCTTTAAAGGAGATGTTTGAGGTTGAATGGAAAAATAACTTCTATTTAAAATATAATTCGATCAGCCGGGTGCAGTGGCTCACGCCTGTAATCCCAACACTTTGGGAGGCCAAGGTGGGTGGATCACAAGGTCAGGAGTTCGAGATCAGCCTGGCCAATATGGTGAAACCCCGTCTCTACTAAAAATACAAAAATTAGCTGGGCGTGGTGGCAGGCACCTGTAGTCCCAGCTACTCTGGAGGCTGAGGCAAGAGAATCACTTGAACCTGGGAGGCGGAGGTACCCAAGATGCCGCCACTGCACTCCAGCCTGGGCAACAGAGCCAGACTCAGTCTTGAAAAAAAAAAAATACATTTGTATATATGTAGAGTTCGATCAGGGTCTTCATTCTGATGCTCCTCAAAAGGTAAAATGTAGTTCAAGAGACAGTTTAGAAGTGTTTACAGAAAAAATTATTTAATAACACTTGTTAAAGCATGCTAAGGAACACTTTATTCAGGACCACCAGGTATAGGGATCACTGCAGCAGGTTTTGCAGAGGGGCAGAGAGACTGGGCTCAATGGGAATTTGTAGCCAAGGAGCACTATGGGAATCAGTGGGTAGAAATTACCAAGAGGAAGCATCAGGGATAAGGGGGATTCTGGCCAAACATACCTAATAGGATTCTTGCTGAAGACAGGCCAGGGTGATTAAACATTGTCTGAGGATGATAGTGGATGAAGAACCTGATCTGATACTGAAGATGATATTGAAGATAGAACTTTCTTGATAAATGGACTTAGGGTTCTTTGTTAAAACCAGATTTTACAAAGAAGTGCACAGATGGGCCTAGCAGAAAATTCAGAAGCCTGAAAAATGTATGGCCAAGCAAAGAATCTTTGTCAGAAGTCACTGCTGGGAAGTGTGACAGATTGCCCAGCTTTAATCCTGCTTCTTGCTTATAAAAGCAAGAATATTTTGCCTATAAACTCCAAGTTCCTTTTATTTTGGGGGAATATTCTTGGTCCATTGGTTCCTCCAAAGAGATGTTCCTTGTTTCCTCCCTGTGACAAAACTTGGGACTTGGAAAGGAGGTGGCTCTCTGAAGCTTTGCAGAAGTCAGACACCCAAAGCCAAACATTTTTTTTGAGGGGGGTGGGGGACAGGATCTCACTCTGTTGCCCAGGCTGCAGTGGCATGATATCGGCTCACTGCAACCTCCACCTCCTGAGCTCAAGCGATCTCCCACCTCAGCCTCTTGAGTAGCTGGGACTACAGGCATGTGCCACCATGCCCAGCTAATTTTTAAATTTCTTATAGAGGTGGGGTTTTGGTATGTTGCCCAGGTTGGTCTCTTGAACTTCTGGGCTCAAGGGATCCACCCACTTCAGCCTCCCAAAGTGCTGGGATTACAGGTGTGAGCCATATAGCACCCAGCCCAAACTTTTAGTTAACAAGTTAATTTATCAATTATTGCTGTTATTGAGACTGATGACTTAAAATATTGGACATTCATGGGAAAGAAAGGGTGGGAGAGAGAAGTGACTGCAGGGGCTAAAGTCTTGGAGGCTTCACCAAGTCAGAATGGAAATAGCTTCAGGCAAGGGGCCAGGGTCCCAAAGCCACTGGAGTTCTATTCCCCTCCACCAGCCTTACCCTCCCCCTGCACAAAGCAGATAATCTATTCTAGGTGATAGAGATATGGGGATAAAATGAGATCAGATATGTGGCAGGATTTTGTTTTAGTTTTCTTTTAATTGGGGCATTAGGGTGCAGTTCTGCCAGTTTCAACAAATAAATACAGTTGTGCAAACTAGCACCACAATGAAGATACAGAACAGTTTCATCAACCCCTAAAATCTAGGTATGTTGGAATCCAGACAACGGGCCCTTGTAACATGTCCCCTTTGCCTACTGGCCTTTAGCTACTGATAGTTTACTAGTTGTTAACACTTCAGATTACACCTGCTGCTTTTCCTTGTACACAAGAACTGGGACAAGAACACTGGGCAGAACTAAGGGTTTCTTCTAGGCAGCCCTGAGCCCTTCTGCTAGTGCTCTCTCACAGGGCTTCCCTTCCAGGTACAATTCTGGGCTCTTGGCCTTAATGGCTTCCTCGGAACCATGCCATTAATCACACATCATACCTTCAGAGATATTCTGGGAAGAAAGCCTCTTGTCAATCTAACTGTGAGAAAGTTGGGTGGAATGACCATCTTTTTCCAGTTTGAGAAGGTCGGACTGAGAGTCTTGTGCCAAGATACAGACTCCCTCACCACTTTTTTGCATGGATGTGGGTCTATTCCCACCTTCACATGGAAGCACAGTTTAGGGAGATAATGTTGAGTGCTTCAGAGAACCTTGGGACCGTAACATCCACGGAGCCATTGCTTGTCACTGACAGGGACCCTGAAGACTTTATAGTCTCATCCCTTGTATCCACTAAAATGGATCACTGAAGTAGTTCTGACTCCACCATGGGCTATATGACCTTGGACAAGGTGATTCACTCTCTGTGCCTATGTTTCTCTGTGCATAAGTGATACTTACTGTGGAGGCTAAAGTAACTCCATTGTGGATGCTAATCTGCCATCTGATTAACCTATCTGAATTAGGGTTAGTTCTGGGAATGCCTCTAAGATTTCTACTTTCATATACTAACTATAAATCCTGTCCTTGTTTGGGCACAGTAGCTCACGCCTGTAATCCCAGCACTTTGGGATGCCAAGGCAGGCAGATCACCTGAGGTTGGGAGTTTGAGACCAGCCTGGCCAACATGGCGAAACCCCATCTCTACTAAAAATACACAGATTAGCCAGGCATGGTGGCAGGTGCCTGTAAACCCAGCTACTCAAGAGGCTGAGGCAGGAGAATTGCTTGAACCCGGGAGGCAGAGGCTGCAGTGAGCCAAGATTGTGCCATTGTACTCCAGCCTGGGCAACAGAGCAAGACTCTGCACCGCCTCTTCACCCAAAAAAAATCCTGTCCTTAGGCATAAACACAACTTACCATACATCCTGCCCTGTATTAGTCCATTCTCACATTGCTATAAAGAACTATCTGAGACAGGGTAATTTATAAAGAAAAGAGGTTTGATTAACTCATGGTTTTGAAGGCTGTACAGGAAGCGTGCTGGGCAGGCCTCAGGAAACTTACAATCACTGCGGAAGGCAAAGGGGAAGCAAGCATGTTTAACATGGTGGAAGAAGGAGGAAGAGAGAGAAGAGGGAGGTGCCACACATTTTTAAACAACCAGAGCTCTTTTTTTTTTCTTTAAGCAGTTCACTGCTAAAAACAAGCAGATCTCATGAGAACTCACCGACTATCACCAGAACGGCAAGAGAGAAGTCTGTCTTCATGATCCAATCACCTCCTGTTAGGCCCCTCTTCCAGCATTGGGGATTACCATTTGATAGGAGATTTGGGCCATGACATAAATTCAAACCATACTATACCCTTAGGCAAATTCCCTATGGTATATAAGCCCTGGATCTGGGGATAACCTTGAGGGGTATCACCATACCAAGACTTGGCTTCTGTTCATAACTCTCTACTGTTTATTTCTGAGAAACGGGATTTGTCAGGCTCTTTCTTTGACCTTTCAGCTTACTCAGTCTTTGGGGATAGGTTTGCAGAGACCTGCTGACTGCAGAACATTTGCACATGGGGTGTTTTAAGGATTGGATAAATGATGATGAGTGCACAGTGCCAGCAAATAGTAAGGGCTCAATAAACAATAGCTTAACATTAATACAACCCAGAGTTTTTTTTTTTTTTGTAGAGACAGGATTTCACCATATTGGTCAGGATGGTCTCGAACTGCGGACCTCGTGATCCTCCTGCCTTCGCCTCCCAAAGTGCTGGGATCATAGGCAAGAGCCACCATGCCCAGCCAACCCAGAGTTAAAAAAAATTTTTTTTTGAAACAGAGTCTTGCTCTGCTGCCCAGGCTGGAATGCAGCAGCATGATCTCAGCTCACTGCAACCTCTGCCTGCCAGGCTCAAGAGATCCTCCCATCTCAGCCTCCCATATAGCTGGGACTAGAGGTATGCACAAGCGCACCAAGCTAATTTTTGTATTTTTTGTAGAGATAGGGTTTTGCCATGTTTCCCAGACTGGTTTCAAACTCCTGGACTCAAGCCATCCACCTGCCTCAGCCTCCCAAAGTGCTGGGATTATAGGCGTGAGTCACTGCAGCTGACCTAACCCAGGGATGTTAAGTGACTTACTTCTTGTTTTTTTGTGACTGTCTCACTCTTTTGCCCAGGCTGGAGCGCAGTGGTGCAATCTCGGCTCACTGCAACCTCCAACTCCCAGGTTCAAGTGATTCTCCTGCCTTTGCCTCCAGAGTAGCTGGAATTACAGGCATGTACCACCATGCCTGGCTAATTTTTTGTACTTTTAGTAGAGACAGGGTTTCACCATGTTGGTTGGGCTGGTCTCAAACTCCTGACCTCAAGTGATCCTCCCACCTTGGCCTCCCAAAGTGCTGGGATTACAGGTGTGAGCCACCACACCTGGCATTAAATGACTTGCTTCTAACAGCAACACTTCTCAGAGCGTAGTTAGGGGTAGGCAGCATGGTGTCTTGAACCAGAGGCTTAACTGGGACACAGAAGAAATTTGAGGTTGAGAACAGATTGGCAAATTCATAAGCTTTGTGATTTTGTGTCATTCCTTCACTTCCCCTCCCAGTTGTCTTCAATAAGCCCTCACTTTTCTTCAATAATTATCTTTCAGAACTATTCCTTATGAATATCACACTGATGTTTTAAATTTAAAAAAATTATCTGACCAGTCCTCTCTTCAGAATGTGACATCCTCATTTATTCTACTCAGTAACAGTTTTAGAATGAAGGCTCATTGTATCTAGAAAAACATTCAGTGTGTTTTTCCAGAAAGAGAAACTTATTTTTTTCTTTTTATTTTTTGGAGACAGGGCCTCACTCTGTCTCCCAGGCTGCTGGAGGTGCAGTGTTGTGAGGCATCACAGCTCAACCTGAGCTCAAGCGATTCTCCTGCCTCAGCCTTCCAAGTAGCTAGGACTACACATATGTGCTACCATGCCCTGCTAATTTCTAAATTTTTAATTTTAATTTTATTTTTTTTTTGAGATGGAGTTTCACTCTTGTTTCCCAGGCTGAAGTGCAATGGCATGATCTTGGCTCACTGCAACCTCCGCCTCCCAGATTCAAGCCATTCTCCTGCCTCAGGCTCCCAAGTATCTGGGATTATAGGTGTGCCCCACCACACCCAGCTATTTGTATTTTTAGTAGAGATGGGGTTTCACCATGTTGGTCAGACTGGTCTTGAACTCCTGACCTCAAGTGATCCACCTGCCTCGGCCTCCCAAAGTGCTGGGATTACAGGCATGGGTCACTGCGTCCGGCCTATTTTTTTTTTAAACTTTTATATTTAGAGATGGTGGGGGGGGTCTCACTATATTGCCCAGGCTGGTATTGAATTTCTGGGCTCTAGTGATCCTCCCAAAGTGCGGGGATTACAGGTGTGAGCTATCATACCCAGCCTCAATAAGTTTCTTAATAGTAACAATGATAGCTATAGTACTAAGCATCTTCCAGTCCCAAGTGCTGTGCTGTGTCCTGCATCATACCACAGAAGCCTCCCAGCAGCCCAGGAAAGATGAAGAAACAGGTTGGGCAAAGTCAAGTAACTTGCCCAACAACACTTGGCAAGGAAGTGGCAGAACCAGGACCTGAACCCAAGTTTCTGACGCTGAAATGTGTGTGCTCTTAACCATGACACTGCCACCTTGGATTAGAAACATGGTAAAGAGGCTGGGCATGGTGGCTCACACCTGTAATCCCAGCACTTTGGGTGGCTGAGACGGGCAGATCACAGGTCAAGAGATTGAGATCATCCCGGCCAACTTGGCGAAACCCCATCTCTACTAAAAATACAAAAACATTAGCTGGGCATGGTGGTGCGCACCTGTAGTCCCAACTACTCGGGAGGCTGAGGCAGGATAATCACTTGAAGCCAGGAGGTAGAGGTTTCAGTGAGCTGAGTTCTCACCCCTGCACCCTAGCCTGGTGACAGAGACAGACTGTCTCAAAAAAGAGAGAGAGAGAGAGAGAGAGAGAGAGAGAGAGAGAGAGAGAGAGAGAGAGAGAGCGGGGAGAGAGAGAGAGAGAGAGAGAGAGAGAGAGAGAGAGAGAGAGAGAGAGAGAGAGAGAGAGAGAAAGAAAGAAAGAAAGAAAGAAAGAAAGAAAGAAAGAAAGAAAGAAAGAAAGAAAGAAAGAAGAAAGAAACGTGGTAAAGAATTTTAGAATGTGAATGGCCCTACCAAAGTAGTTTCAGATGACAAGGATTATTTCTTATTTAGACATGGTGACATTCTTGCAAAGTATGTAGACTGAAATAAATCATATTGAAATAGCATCAACATGAACCTGCCCATCCCACTGAAGTTCCAAAATCTTTCATCATGTATAATTTTCATGTCTCTCTTTGATAACAAACTAGTGACAAAAGAAAAAAAAAGAAAGAAAAATAACGTGAAGGGCCCTGAGAAATCCCCAAAACACACCTTTTGATCAACCACAGCATAGTGGCTGCGATCTCTCCAGTTCCATGAGCTCCTCCCCCACTGCAGTTTGTAGAACAGTGATCTGGAGAACCCCAGCTTGTGAATTTCTCATTTGGATCGAGACCGTTACGTGATGAGCACAGTCTGAAGCTGCTATGTACTTTACTGAGATGGGTGTTCCAGGATGTCAGGGGAGAGAAGGGCAGCGGTCTGTGAAGGAGACATCTGGGTTTCTAGAGCACTCAGGTGTTCTTTCTCGGGGTGAGTGGGCTGACCCCACCCACATTGTCATGTAAGTTGCCACAATCCGGTTGTCACTTCCAACTGCCAATGCTGAGCTTCATGCCCCTGGCATTCCACTTTGGATTGGTAGCGATAGCAGCCCCTGGTGCAGCCTATCTTGGCTGTATACATCTTACCCTCCTTCTGATCACTGCCAGTCGCTTGTGTAACTTTAAAAAGGTCTCTCGAGCATCAGTAGAACTGTTTAAGTTTGAAGTATATTGAGTAAAATATTAGGAATTATTATTTTACTATGTGAACAGTTACTCCGTATTTATAGAAACAGTTTATTCTAGGACACAATCCTCCCTTTCTCCCCAGATCCTGTAGTGAAATTACAGGCCAAATGCTGTGGCAATTCAAGAAGATGAGAGGAAATTTGCTTTGAAATAGGAGGAGAAACTGACCTGGCTGGTTGGTAAGAGGTCCAAGGAACACAGTGTCCTCTGGATACTGGCAGCTGCTGGAAGATGTCTGTTCTTCTGGTCGGTGAGGCTGGCCCTCTCTGGCCAGCTGACCCATGGCAAGTGGAAATGGTCAATATAATGGAAAGCCCATTCCGTCCTTGACAGTGAGATGTACTGATGTGGGAAATCAGAGAGATTTTAATCTACTGATAAAAGAGGAAAAGATGTCCAGAATGAAAAGTCATATGAAGGAGGCAGATTGCAAAATAACATATACTGTGGCATCATATTTACATATTTTTACAAACATAAATGAGTATATAAAAACATCTGGAATAATAGTTACAAGCTTACTAGAGCTAGGATGGAAATGGCAAACAGATTTTTTAAAATTTTGTATGATTTTATATTCTTCAAGTTTTTTCTAAAGATAATGCATTACTTCTCCCACCCCCAAAATATTTCTTTTTGTATTTATACTATTTTTTTTAAAGTTAGCTTCATTGAAGTGCATATAGAAGAATCACCCTATTAAAAGTCTATGGTTCTGGGCACAGTGGCTCATGCCTGTACTCCCAGCCCTTTAGGTATAGTGTGTGCCACCATACCTGGCTAATTTTTTGTATTTTTAGTAGAGACAGGGTTTCACCATGTTAGCCAGGATGGTCTCAATCTCCTGACCTCATGATCTGCCTGCCTCAGCCTCCCAAAGTGCTGAGGTGTGAGCCACCACGCCTGGCCTATCCTTTTTATGTACTACTAGATTTTCTTTTCTTTTTATTTGTTTTGAGACCAAGTCTCACTCTGTCCTCCAGGCTGGAGTGCAACAGTGAGATTTCAGCTCACTGCAACCTCTGCCTCCTGGGTTCAAGTGTTTCTCCTGCCTCAGCCTCCCGAGTAGCTAGGATTATGGGTACATGCCATCATGCCCAGCTAAATTTTGTATTTTTGTAGAGACAGGGTTTCACCATGTTGGCCAGGGTGATCTCAAACTGTTGACCTCAGGTGATCCACTCACTTCACTTTCCCAAAGTGTTGGGATTACGAGTGAGCCACCATGCCCAGCCCTTGATTTGATAAGAATTCTCCTGTTTAGATTCATAAGAATATTGACCCATTTTTTTTCTTTTGTTTTGTTTCCTCTTTTAGTGTCTTTTCTGATTTTGGTATCAGAATAACAAAGGGAGAAGTGTTCTCTCTCCTGTTATTTTTGGAGAGTTTGTATAAAATCAGCACAATTTATTCCTTATTTATTCTTCATTTTTTTAGTTTGAGTGTGTCTGTCTTATTTGAATTTTTTCTAAATAAAATGTAGTATTAAAAAACATTAAAAAAAATTTTTTAGCCCATGACACAGCCCTAAGGAGATCCTGGGAAATGTACCCAAAATGCAATACTTAAAAAAAAATGCTACTTTGAAATAGTGTTGTAGTTACAGAAAATTTACAAAAATCCTATCAAGACCTCCTATGAACCTTTCACCTAGATTCCCTTAATATTAACATCTTACATAATCATAGTACAATTATCAAACTCATAAAATTAACATTGACATTATTAACTAATAACATTAGTAGTAGCATTATTTAGTATTAGGCCTTATTCCAGTTTCATCCTTTTTTCAATAATGTTCTTTTCTGGCTCAGGATTCCACATTGCATTTAGTGGTCCTGTCTCCTTAGTCTACTTCTTGTTCCTTTTTTTTTTTTTTTTTTTTTGCTAAAAAAGTTTTTTTGGCTGGGCACTGTGGCTCACACCTGTAATCCCAGCACTTTGGGAGGCCAAGGTAGGCAGATCATGAGGTCAGGAAATCGAGACCATGGCCAACATGGTGAAACTCCGTCTCTACTAAAAATAAAAAAATTACCTGGATGTGGTGGAGCACACCTGTAATCCCAGCTACTCAGGAGGCTGAGGGAGTAGAATTGCTTGAACCAGGGAGTTGGATGTTGCAGTGAGCTGAGATCATGCCACTACACTCCAGGCTGGCAACAGAGTGAGACTCCATCTCAAAAAAAAAAAAAAAATGTTTTTTTCAGAGGTTAGATGCACTGTTCCTGGAAGTACTGCAATACCAGGTCAAGGTGTGGAGTGGATGGAGCAAGCTCCTATTCCATCTCCTATTTCTGAAAATCCATTTAATATATTGTCTTTGAATAGGGGACATATCAGATATTAAGCTGATAAAAACAGAAACTATACTCGATCTTAGCCAAAAGGCCAAGAAGCGATTCTTAGTCTCCTTCTAAGAGAGTTTCTAGTCTTTCTTTATTGTTTGCTTTTGCATTAATTTTTTAATTAAAAAATAATCAGGGAGGGCAGGCCCAGTGGCTCACTCCTGTAATCCCAGCACTTTGGGAGGCTGAGGTAGGTGGATTGCCTGAGGTCAGGAGTTTGAGACCAGCCTGGCCAACATGGTGAAACCCTGTCTCTACTAAAAGTACAAAAACTTAGCTGGGCATGGTGGCAAGCGCCTGTAATCCCAGCTACTTGGTAGACTGAGGCAGGACAATTGCTTGAGCCTGGGAGGTGGAGGTTGCAGTGAGCCAAGATTGCACCATTGCACTCCAGTCTGGGCAACAAGAGCAAAACTTGAAAACACACACACACACACACACACACACACACACACACACACACACACACACCAGAAACATGTTGTAGCCCAATGTAAGGAAACTAAGAACTTTGAAAAAAGGTTTGACAAAATCCTAATGAGAATAGACAATTTAGAGAGGAATATAAGTGAATTAATGGAACTGAAGAATACAATATGGGAACTCCGAGAAGTATGCACAGGTTTCAACACTCGAATTGTTCAAGTAGAAGAAACGATATCAGAGGTCGAAGACCAACTTAATGAAATAAAACGAGAAGACAAGAATAGAGAGAAAAGGATAAAAAGGAATGAGCAAAGTCTCCAAGAAATATGGGACTATGTGAAAAGACCTAATTTACGTTTCATAGGTGTACCTGAATGCAACGGAGATAATGAATCCAAGCTGGAAAATACTCTTCAGGATATTATTCAGGAAAACTTTCCCAACCTAGCAAAGCAGGACAATACTCAACCCCAGGTAATACAGAGAACACCACAAAGATATTCCTCAAGAAGAGCAATCCCCAAGGCACATAATCATTAGATTCACCAGGGTTGAAATGAAGGAGAAAATACTAAGGGCAGCCAGAGAGAAAGGTCAGGTTATCTACAAAGGGAAGCCTATCAGACTTACAGCAGATCTCTCAGCAGAAACCCTGTAAGCCAGAAGAGAGTGGGGACCAATATTCGACATCCTTAAAGAACAGAACATTCAGCCCAGAATTTCATATCCTGCCAAACTAAGCTTCACAATTGAAGGAAAAATAAAATCTTTTATGAACAAGCAAGTACTCAGAGATTTTATTACCACCAGGCCTGCTTTGCAAAAGCTTCTGAAAGAAGCATTACACATAGAAAGGAACAACCAGTATTAGCCTTCTAAAAATATACCAAAAAGTAAAGAGCATCAACATAAAGAAGAATTTATATCAACAAATGGATAAAATAGCCAGTTAACATCAAATGGCATTAACCCTAAATTTAAGTCGACCAAATCCCCCAATCAAAAGATACAGCCAAAACCTAACGGTGTGCTGCATCCAGACCCATTTCACATCCAAAGATACACAAAGACTCAAAACAAAAGGAAGGAGAAAGACTTACCAACCAAATGGAGAGCAAAAATTAATAAATAAATAAAAAGCAGGAGTTGCAATTCTCGCATCTGATAAAATAGATTTTAAAGCAACAAAGACATAGTGGTAAAAAGACATATGTGACCATAAGAGCTAACGACCCTAACACCCAGATAAATAAGACCCATAGAGATTTAGACTTAATGAGACAGAAAATTGATGAGGACAACCAGGACTTGAACTCAGATCCGGAACAAGTAAACTTTATAAATATTTATAGGGTTCTCCATTTTAAATACACAAAATATACATTCTCCACTTTAAATACACAATATATTGATCTGCCATTATTAATACCCATTTTTAGAATAAAGCAATATTTCTGTTTTCTCTCCCTCTTTGTCTTCCTTTCATTCTCTCCTTCACTTCTTTTTTCTCCTTCTTTTCCTTTCCTTTCAAAAAAAAAAAATACCTGAGGTAGCCAGGTGTGGTGGCTCATGCCTGTGATCCCAGCACTTTGGGAGGCTGAGGCATGTGGATTGCTTGAGATCAGGAGTTCAGACTAGTCTAGCCAATACGGTGAAACTCTATCTCTACTGAAAATACAAAAATTAGCTGGGTGTTGTGGGTGCCTCCCAGCTACTTGAAAGGCTGAGGCATGAGAATCACTTGAACCTGGGAGGTGGAGGTTGCAGTGAGCCAAGATTGAGATAGCCACTGCACTCCAACTTGGGCAACACAGTGAGACTCTGTCTCAAAACAAAACAAAACAAAACAAAAACTTGAGGCTTAATTGGCTCACGTTTCTGCAAGCTGTACAGGAAGCATCATGCTGGCATCTGCTGGGCTTCTGGAGGTGCCTCAGGAAGCTTACAATCATGGTGGAAGGCAAAGGGGGAGCAGGCATATCACATGACCAGAGCAGGGGCAAAGGAGAGAGCAGGGAGGTGCTATACGCTTTTAAACAACCAGAACTCACAAACTATCATGAGGGTAGCACCATGGTAATAGTATTAAACATTCACAAGAAGTCCACCCTCATGATCCAATCACCTCCCACCAAGCCCCACCCTTAATACTAGGGATTACAATTCAGCATGAGATTTGGGTGAGGACAAATACCCAAACTATATCACAGGGTATAAGAGCCCAAGTGGGGTGAGGCAGCCTCTGTGAATGGGGGTGGTGATAGCCCAATAATATTGTCACAGTCTGAGTGGAAGGAAGGGGACACCTGTGGCAGTACAGGGGTGAGGATAGGCCAGAGTAGGTGAGGTGATGAGGGCATCTGTGCAGCGATATGATGGCAGAACAGAAGACTGTTAATACACAGTGGCTCTGATCAAATAAATAAATACACTGAGAATAATGAAAGGCAGGTGTCTGTCTGGCAGAGAGAGAAGTTATATATGGAGAGGAAGATAACTAGAATTAATGAATCTTGTGGTGTTGGATAAGAATGGAAGGTAACCATATAAACTCATGGTTTTCATATATGAAAATAAATATGGATAAATAAATAAATAAAGCTCTATCCTCTGAGAGGGTCTGGGAGGAGCAACACCTCATAGCAATGAGCACATTTTATACTCAGGTCTTGGCTTCTAAATGCTATTCTTGTTAGGTTGGGTGGCTCATGCCTTTAACCCTAGCACTTTGAGAGGCTGAGGTGGGTGGGTCACCTGAAGTCAGGAGTTCCAGACCAGCCTGACAAATATGGTGATACACTGTCTCTACTAAAAATTAGCTGGGCATGGTGGCATATACCTGAAGTCCCAGCTACTCAGGAGGCTGAGACAGGAGAATTGCTTGAAGCTGGGAGGCAGAGGTTGCAGTGAGCAGAGATTGCACCACTGCACTCCAGACTGGGTGACAGAGTGAGACTTTGTCTCAATAAACAAATACATATATACATACATACATACATACATACATACATACATACATTATTTTGCTTGCCAAATGTTTTATTCCCATTATTATTCTACACATTCTATGGTAAGAAAAAGCTTTCTCCTCTTCCCTTGTATTATTTATTTATTTCGGTATAAACTCATTCCCCTTATATTAAATGAATTATAATCTGTAACCATTATTATTTATATTGATGCTCACTGCAACCTCTACCGCCTGGGTTCGAGCAATTCTGGTGCCTCGGCCTCCCAAGTAGCTGGGGTTACAGGTGTGTGTCATCACACCCAGCTAATTTTTCTGTATTTTTGGTGGAGATGGGGTTTTACCATGTTGGTCAGGCAGGTCTCAAACTCTTGGCTTCAAGTGATCTGCCAGCCTTGGCCTCCCAAATTGCTGGGATTACACTGCACCTGGCCGAGAAGCAAATTTGCCTGTTTATTCCTAGATTTCAGCTGGATAAATGGGTGGGTGGTTATGTCATTATCAAAGGAGGGACGACAAGAGGAAGCAGAGTTGGCAAAGGATTTGATTCCAGACTGATTTTTTTTCAGATGTCTGTAAGATATCTGGGTGAAAATATCCTTTACAGGCCGGGTGCGGTGGCTCAAGCCTGTAATCCCAGCACTTTGGGAGGCCAAGGTGGGTGGATCACAAGGTCAAGATATCGAGACCATCCTGGTCAACGTGGTGAAACCCCGTCTCTACTAAAAATACAAAAAATAGCTGGGCATGGTGGCGTGTGCCTGTAATCCCAGCTACTCAGGAGGCTGAGGCAGGAGAATTGCCTGAACCCAGGAGACGGAGGCTGCGGTGAGCAGAGATCATGCCATTGCCCTCCAGCCTGGGTAACAAGAGCGAAACTCCATCACACACACACACACACACACACACACACACACACACACACACACAAATCCTTTACAAATTGCAGACTGTAATAATTTAATAAAATCTGGGACTTACTTGAAATGTTTGTGACTAGTTACTAAACTTGATGAAATAAGCCAGAAGACGATACAGAGCTATGCTATGCAGTGTGGTAGGCACCAGCCACATGTGGCCATTTTCTTTTTTCTTTTTTTGAGACAAACTTTTGCTCTTGTTGCCCAGGCTGGAGTGCAATGGTGCGATCTCGGCTCACTGCAACCTCTGCCTCCCAGGTTCAAGCGATTCTCTTGCCTCAGCCTCCCAAGTAGCTGGGATTACAGGAATGCACCACCCTGGGAACGCCCAGGTAATTGTGTGTTTTTAGTAGAGATGAGTTTTCTCCATGATGGTCAGGCTGGTCTCGAACTCCTGATCTCAGGTGATCCACCTGCCTCGGCCTCCCAAAGTGTTGGGAATACAAGGCATGAGCCACTGTGTCTGCCCTCTTTATATCTTTAATTATTAATGTGAATGAACAATTCAGGCTATCCTGCAAAAAGAATTTTGGTTACTATTTCAGTTGACATTTTTCAAAATGATAGTGTGGCTTGCATAATCTCAGCAATCTATCATGACTTAAATTTTGTTCTTGAATTTCTTGTTCTTACAAAAGCTGAGTTTTAGTATACAGGAACTTTTGTTCTTTATAAGCTTACCATTGTTAGTTTTTATAGTTTTTGTTTGTACCCTAAATTTCTGCTAAGTTTCCAAATTGAATGTCTCATAACTTCTGTTTTCTTCATCTCTAACAACTGGATTAAAATAAAATGTGGCTGCTTTTTTGTCTTTTGTTGTTGTTCTCAGGAAAGTCATATCCCAAAACTCATTACACCTGCAGAAAAAGGAAGACATTTAGAATCACGACTCATAGAAGCATATGTTATTCAGTGTCAGGCCAAAGCTCAAGAAGGTATCCTAAATATTGTAAGATTGTTTTAAATGAAAGTCTATATTGGCATTTAATTCCTCTTTAAGAATCAGAAGTTGGGCACTATGGCTCACACATGTAGTCACAGCACTTTGAGAGGCCAAGGTGGGCAGATGACTACAGGCCAGGAGTTCAAGACCAGCCTGGGCAAGGTGGCAAACCTCATCTCTACAGAAAATTCAAAAATTAGCCGGGCATGGTGGTACATGCCTATAGTCCCAGCTTCTCACGAGGGTGAGGTTGGAGTGATGGTTTGAACCTGGGAGGTCAGATCACTTGTATTAAATTGTTTAATACAAGCAATCACTGTATTAAAATCCCAAAGAGATTGTCAGACTGTCTTTTGCTATTATAATTGAATTTAGGATGAATGGAGTGAATTTAATTATAGATTCCCTTTATTATGTTTGGTTACAGTAACAATTGCTTGAGCAATTGAACTAAAACATGCTCCTGGACTAATTGCTGCACCGGCGTATGAAACAGCCAATTTCTATAAAAAAGCTGGTAAGCTGCTAATTCTGTTGTTACATTTTTAGTCTTCAGTTTTTCAGATTTATTTGATCTTTAATTAATGGGGACAAAACAAGATTTCTCAGATTCTGTCATTATTTGCAAAATTGGAGTAATATATATTATTTACCGCATTTAAAATAGAACCGTTCATATTTAATATGCTGCATAACTTCTAATGGAAGAGAAAACCAGTGATGTCTAATAAAATTATACGGTGTTTGGCTTAAAATTTTCTTTTGGTCTTTATAACAACCTTATAAAGAATCTGAAATCCACAGAGTTAACATGACTAACCCATAATTTAACTGCTAGAAAGTGGGAGACTGGGCCTAGAACACACTCCTGTGATAAGCCTGTTAACTCTTCATTCACTTATTTAGGAAACATGCAAATTTTTTTTTATGAGATGGTTACTATTTTTGTTGCTAAGAAGAGGCAAGTAGAAAGGATTTGCAGTTTAGGGAAGGAGACAAACATGTAACCCCATTATTATATCCTGAAGTAAGATATCACAGCAGTGAATTAGAAATCTTAACAAGCTGGGCATCCTAGAGAAGGACTCTAGAAGAAGATGCTTTAGCCTTATTGTGAAGTGTAAATAAAAGTCTTATGTTCCCTAGGAAGCTTTCGAGTTTGGGTGTAGAATTCTTTAGTAAGTACAAAAATAAGAAATAACTTAGTGCATTCTGGAAACTTCAGACAGTTGCTCTTACCTGAAACACAGGATGAGTAGTAGGAGAAAAGATTGAAAAAGTATGCATGGTTGGGATCAAACATTGGTTTGTAAGCCTTTGACCTTTCATTCTATAGATATTTGGGACCTGTTAAAAGATTAGAAGGCTAACTTGATAGGATTTGAATTTAAGACAGGTCCCTATAGTTGCAGTGTTAGAGATGGGTTTGCTGCATGAAGGAGT